GATGTGGCAAGCCTCACTCTGAACTTAATACGCTAAGCTCCTAAACAAGCACTCACTTATATTAAAAGTAATGAAGGTAAAATTAGTTATATATGAAAAGGCAGAACTTTAACTTAAGACATAGGTACAGTACACTTCCAACTAATTCAACTCCAAGTGCAAGAAGAAAATAATGCTCCCTACAAAAGCATTTTACATAAATGCATAAGATAAGCTTCATTTTTTCACACTTGTGCTTTATATGGAAATCAAACTGTTCTTTCTGCTGCTTATAGAAGTAAAGAATCACTGCAAATGATTAATGTACACAGACACACATCCACACACCAATACTGCAAAAAGATCTAGTAAGAGAAATATCCCATAAGTCATAGTAGCATTCCTTCCAATTATTTGATTTCTTTATATTAATTATAAAGCATCTTATATTGCTGTAAATATAATTATTTATAGAGCAACTACCATGAAGAGAAAGCTTTCCAAAAAGTTTGATCTGCTCAATCACAACCCAGAATAATTTATTAAGCAAACGTATCATGTAAAGCACTTTAAATCTGACTTTAGAACACTCTGAGTTAAGAAAAAAAACAGCAGCATTCTATCATTTTCAGGTTTTATGTCAAGTGTATATGGATCTGAAAATTGAGAATAATAACATTATCGAGAACAAACTCAGTCTGGAAGTCAATGTTTCGTTTTATTTGTGTGGGAAAAAAAATCCAACATTTTTGAGTTATTTTTGCTTAGTGCAAAATTTCCTGAGTAAGTAGTAACAGTTAAAGAAAAAACAATTTTGCAGAAAAACGGAAACGAAAATGACTTACAAAGACAACGCAACCTCACTAGGGAATTCGGTGCTCAGTCTGAAAAACATTTTAATAGCTTTTCTAATTAAAACTCACCATTATAAAAAATTAACTGCTAAATTTAATTTCCTACTAAGTATACTGTTTTATATCATTTTTTATTAAAAATATGTTTTATTAGATTTCCAACTAAATTAAATGGTGAATAGTAGTTGCTTTTATTGCTGGTTTATATGCTCTAATAATTACTTGAAACTATTCTATTCAGCCAAATTAGATGTAATTTTAGTCACAAGCATATTTTTATTAATGTTTTATTCACGTATAAACTAAGCAGCAAAAGAGTATTGTGCATGAATGTTTGTAAGTGTTAAAATAAATACATTGTGTGCGATATTCAGCTAGATAAGATGGCAAACAGATTGTAAAATTTCTCAGGAAGGTTTTCAAAGATTATTAAGGAATCACAACATGTGATTTTCATAAATAAAACAGAACTAACTAAACTATATAGCCTTGCATATTAATTTTCATTCAGAAGGTATAAGGTAACATTGTCCAAAAATAGCATTTCTGTATGAATTGCACCCACGTTATATAATACTCTTCAGACACTTGCCATCTTGACACTCATACTGCTGGGCAGAAATGAATGGAATACCTTTAACAGTGTGGTCTGAATCTCTGGCTCCCACCCTTTTCCCCCATGGGATTGTTTTACTCATCCCATTGAGGTTAAGTCTATGAATGGATGTTTTTATAAACTCCCCAAGTAAGAGTCTTACATTGTCAGCTCAGCATATAATCTAAATTAGGATAGAAAAAAAAAATGAAACTGCCACTACCCGACTTATTTATACCACAATTAAATAATTATTTCTTTTATTTATTGCTTCCACCTTAAACAAGATTATTTCACAAGTATACAAGTCAAGATATGTATAGTGCATATGTGTAAATATCATTGCTATCTAAAACAGAAACACAGGCCAATGTCAAAACCACTTTCTTCTCATAGTCTTCACGTTATATCTTATTTTAGGGCTTGACCTCTTCAAGGCAATTTCATATGTTCTATTTAATAAGTCATTTTCATGCTTGTAAATCCATTGGTTGGTTTACATTAGGACTCAAAACATATTTGTTGAAAGAATACTAAGGTTTTGAACCTCTCACCATTTACACTTATCCTCAGTGTAACCACTGCTTCTTAATAAGATGCTTTCCACTTTTTTTCTGCCCCTTAATATTCTTTTGATTTCAGGAGAATTCTCAGTATATATTCCAGTAGGAGGCAAAGATTCCCACAATAGAAGTCAATGAGGCCCCGGGAATCATAAGAACATATTTACTCCTGAAACACTCTTCTAGCAGATCTTAGTAACAGTTCTTTGGATACCAATGCTACTTAGATCTAAAGCTGGTCACACTCTGGATTCTAGAAGTCAGTATCTGTTCTAGCTATTCTAACTAGGTCTTGAAAGACACAGTAGACATCAATCACAGGATTTGATTTTTAACACAGGAGATTTAAAGCTTATCTTGTGGGAACTGTAAGTAATATAAAAATTGTTCTCTTATCTTTTGACCTTAGAGCAAGAACATTTTATTTTATTTTAAAGCATTTCAAATTGGCATGGCACAGAAGAAAGAAGAATCACAAAATTTAATTTTTTTTTCCTTGTTGTTTTTGTTGTTAAGTGCCATAGAGTCAGTTCCAACTCATAGCAACCCTGTACAGGGTTTCCGTGGAGCGGCCGGTGAGCTTGAACTGCCAACCTTGCAGTTCAAACTGACCTTGAGATCAGTGCTTATCCTGTGGCACTAAATGTCAATTTTTTTAAAAAAGCCATGACAAGTTGAGAGAGACAGCAGAAGAAAGAAAGGTGCATTTAATAGCATTTTTCTATTATATTTTATCTTGTACTGGGCCCCACAAATCATGCAGATGGTCTTAGATTTATATTTAGGTTGGTGGTCCCTTGAGGTTACAATGTGCCCATAAACACTTTAGGCTAAATATTTTCTTACCTACAGTCAAGAAAACAGAACATAGTCTCTCAGAAGTTACTCCAGAAGCCAGAGAAGTCCATCCCATGGACTGAAACACAAGTCCTCGCCTCTCAGCTCCCTTCACCACATAAGGACAGAGAAGCTAGAACCAGATAGCTTCCACAATTACTCAAAAGTTTAGATTCTACCCCATGAAATTAGAATGTAGACAACAGTGAATCGTTTGAAGGATTTTAAGCAGGAAGTGATGTAAAATTTGTACCATCAGGTCCAGAGATGAACTAAAGGAAGAAATATCACATGAAGTCTATTTTTATAACATTAGAAAAGGAAGAGGGAGGCCTTATCAGTTGGGTGAGATGGAGCAAAAAAGACTGAGATGGGTTTTAATATATTCACTTGAAAGCTGAAAAGTTTTTTTTTACTTAAGTCTACCAGGGACAATTAAGATACTTCCTTACCCTTATATATTGAGCTACAATTCAATATATCATGAGAGACTGTTTTCCCTGCACAGGAAGTACTATCTGAAGTTATTCCAGTGCCTTTTGTTAAAGGCAGTGTGGATTAATCATTTCATCAGCTGTACCCTAGTCAAAGATCCACAACCAGCGATATCTATCAAGAAGACCAGGGCTCTGTAGCATGAGGAACACCCATTTGCTATTTACATTCTCCAAAACGTTAAACTTTGAAAGAAGATGTTATAAAATGTGTGACATGCCAAAGAAAACAAGTGAATAAAGACATGTACATAGGTACATAGAGTAGTTCAGTTACTCTATGTCCCTGGTACCATACAATTGCTATTCCAAGAAAAACAAGATATGACGTTGTCTGGTGTGGTGCTGTGGGGTTAATGCACCAGACTGCAAAGCCGTTTGAACTGCAAGGTCAGCAGTTCAAGCTCACCAGCTGCTCTTCGGAAACCTTATACAGGGCAGCTATGGGTCGGAACTGACTCAATGGCACTTAACAACAACAGCAACTCATATTTTAGAATAACATACCTTATGTAAACCAGAATAACTTCATTCTTACAACATTCCTTAGTAACCATCCAGCCTACTACAGTAGCTAGTCTACTATGTAGGGAGTACTATATTATTTCAAAATCATTCATTAGTGCACTCTTCCCTTCTTCATAATTTGTGCTAATAAGGACACTAAAATCTTTCAGACTCCTTTGAAATGCAAAAAAAAAGTATTGTTTTTAGACTCTCTATATGCTTATAATTAGGAATTGCTTAAGACTTGACCGCAACAGAGTACAAATAGCAGCTTAGGAATTCAACAGTCGTTTGCAATCAAATTTTAATAGCACATATCAGAGAAAGCAAGAAATGATTTCCTCTATAAACAGATAAAGTAACAGAAATATACAGCCAAATAGTCATGTAAACTTATTAATCACAGAAATTAAAAAAACAACTGATTTTGAATAAAATTGGCTAGTTTTCTTCTATTTATCCCTTAAATTTCACGTACAATTACCAAAGTAAGGTACATTTACTTGCATACATAATATATAATCTTATACTTACAAAGACAAAAATGACCAAACATAATTTTGTTTTGAAAGCTCTGAAAATATTAGGCCTACAGTGTTTAACTACCACGTTGCTTTTTATGTAGCTACAGCCTTTTTCTCTTCAAGATGAGTGGGATGAGTCAAGAAGTTTTGAAGGATTCAAGAATAAGAAATTATTATCTTTCTTTCCTTTACAGCTGAATGAATTAGCTTAAAATTCTAGCAAAATATGTGCTCATCCAGAAAAATCCCTCTGATCAATTGTCCTTTTGTATCGAGAAACATGTGCAATCTTTTAATCACAGTTGAGTGCATCACTCAGCCAGAAGAATGATGGCCCAAAGCTAGAAAACATGATCACAGAAACTGAAACTTCATTGGTAAGATATATATTTTAAGATTAGGGAGCAAAACACTAATAAGTTTAGATTTTATAACTTATTTCTGTATAGAAATTAGTCTAGCATTCAACTTGTGAGAAAAGCACTAGGCTCCAAAATAATGAATTATAAGACTTGAGTTCACATTAACTTGGTCCCTATAGAAGAGGAAAAAATTCTCACTCAAGTAAAAGGCAGTAACTGTTAGAACAAATTCAGTCTTATTTGTTGTTAGTGATTTATTTGTTTGTTTCCATTTGAAAGACTTACCATCTTGCTGGCCATGAAGAGTCTGGGGACTTTGCATTCTTTCCTCAAGATTGGAGCTAAGATCAGAGTTCACAGCTGACATCCGTGTTGAATCACTCATATCAAATTCATCACTTTCTATTGAACTTTCATCCTGAAAATGGTTTAAAAATATCATCAAGCATCATAAAATTGAATACATCAAATAATAGCCTTTTTATCTATAGTATGAGTTGGGCTGCTAACCTCACGGTCAGTAGTTCAAAACTACCAACAGTTCCATGGGAGGAAGATGAGGCTTTCTGCTCCCATAAAGATTTATAGCCTTTGAAACCCCGTACAGGGTCGCTATGGGTCAGAACCGACTCGACAGCACATAACAACAACAAGAGTGAATACGTTTTTATAGAACTCAGTAAAATAATTTACCCATTAATAGATGCTTGAAATGACAAATAAAGGAATAATTTCCTCCTTCAAGGAATTTCAAGACTTGGAAAGAGTCAAGCAAAGTATTTATATATATATATAGGTAGATATATAGCTATTCCGTGGGAGAAAGATGAGGCTTTCTGCTCCCGTAAAGATTTACAGCCTCGGAAACCCTGTACAGGGTCACTATGAGTCGGAACCGACTCCACGGCACATAACAACAACAGATACATATAATGGTATGTTTGGGGGAGAATGTGGTAGGGGGTTGAGCCTGAATACAGAAATAATTTTAATTAATAAAATCCTTCTAAAAGACTCTATCACAGAACACAACATAAGAGACAGACGTTTTAATTAAAAAAAAAAATGTTGACCTAATAAAATATTCTAAACAGAAATCTTAGAGTACAGTAAGAAAGTATTAATAAAGAAATTAATTGGCAAATAGGATGAGTTTTAGCAACAGACACATTTACATGCCTATATTCACAGTCCACTGGCAGAGAGTTAAGAGTCTGAACATAACCTTTCTTTCCTCACAATTGAATAGAAATTATAATGGAATAGAAATTACATTTAAAAAAAAGACGTTCTAGTAAATTTGTGCAAGATCCATTTGCCAAGGGTTACTCAACAGTTAAATCACCAAAAGATTCATTTGCTAAATGATCAATTCATCAAAACTTGTCAAATATGAAACCAACTCTTCACATTCTTTGCGGCTGCCATTTCATAGAAAGCAATTCCTTTTGGAGAACTGATTTTCAGACAAATGGTATGCTTACATAGGCAGGAAACCCTGAAACCCCTATATAAAATGTAAATACCTTATTAAAATCACCAGGTTTGAATTTAATTTGGAAATGTCGATTGAGAGTTTAATACTGATTTAATAACAACAGTAGCAATAGTAATGCTGTTATTTGTGTTGCAGATGCTGTTCTGGATATTTATTCTCTCACAGTCTCCATCACAGCCTATGAATTAGATATTAGTATTAATCCAATTTTCAGAGAAGAATTGAGACAGAAGTTAAAACATTTCCCCCACTATAAGATACCAGAACTGGAATTCATACAGTTACTCAAACTTGATAAAAATAACTTATTTAAAAAGGAAGAATTAGTTTGGCTTCAGAAATAACATATTGGTATTAGCAAGGAGCTTGTTTGCTATTGTGGTTGTTGTTGTTAAGCACCACTGAGTCGGCTTGCTTGTGATGGCTGTTGTTGTTATGGTTGGTGGAGGTGCCACCACCCTTGCAGACCACCTAACAGAATTGGCATTCTGATACATAGTGTTCAGGCTCTGGAGATTTTTGATACCCAAGATATGTGACTATCTCTGGGTTTACAGAGTAGTTCTAACTCTTCATTAATTCAGCAAGGAAACGCCACCCTCTGAGGCCTCTGGGCAATCAGCCAGATAGATTTCTTCCAGAGGCATGCCCTCTCTTTGGTACATTGTATTCTCTGCAATTCTACATTCTAATCAAATCTAAAACAGTGGAAATAAATGCATCTGTTTTAAAACAGAAAAATAACACCATTCATTGTACACTTTGTTGTTATCAGTGTGTACCATATGCATATGGATGTGCACATCGACAGGTGAAGTAGAGATACATTATGCACACTATTTATAGTGCCTGTGATCTCATAGTGTTTTAGAGCCCATTCTCTGAAACATGGGTTTAGACCTACGCTCTCCCACTTAGTAGATAAGTTACCTTGAGTAGACTACTCAATATTTCTGTGCCTCAATTTTCTCATTTATGAAATGGGAACAATGATAGTGTCAACCTCACAGGGTTATGTGATGATTGAGGAGGTGTAATCCTGGTGTGGTGCTGAAGGATAAGCTACTGGACTCCAGGTCAGTTTGAATTGTAAGGTTGGCAGTTCAAATTCACCAGTTGCTCCTTGGAAACCATATACAGGGTCACTATGAGTTAGGACTGACACGATGGCACTTAACAACAACATTGTTATGTAGTGTATATAAAAAATATGACAGAAGCTAACAATAGCAAACAGTATATAACGTGAATTTATTGTATTATATGAACGCAAGAATTAAAATAAATTTAAGTAAAATGACTAAATTGATAAATGCATATTTATAACTGCATTTTACAAAGATACAATATTTATAATAAGCATTTACTATATATATGGCATATCAAAAGCTTAAGTAATCTAATAAAATGCTATTTTCATGGCATATATGTAAAGTAATATATCTCAGATATAAAGGGTAAGTCAAAAAGTACTGCTACAAAATCAAAGAAACCTTTATTAAACAAAAATAACAAAATGTGAAGTAATTGATTCTCGACAAAATCTCCCCATCTAGGTCTATATAATTCTGAAGGCAATGTTTCATTTTCTCTAACCCTTCACCTCAAAACTCTACATTCTTCAATCTACACCACGTAAAAACAACAGGTTTGCAATCCTTGCTGGTGGTGGTTGTGTGTCTTGGAGTCAGTTATGGCTCATAAAGATCCTGTATAGAATTTCTGAGGCTACAAATCCTTACGGGAGCAGAAAGTCTCCTGTTATCCCTAAGGGGCTAAAAATGTGTCCTTTTCAATGTTCTTTGAATTTTAGAAACAAAAAAAAGTCTGGTAGGACAAGATAAGGGCAGTAGGGTGGACGGACAGGGTAAGGTTTTCAAAGAATAGTCTTTCTCCCAGTCATCCTTGAAAAATGAGCAAGTGTTTTGTGATGGAAAACAATTCCTTGATGGAACATTCTGGGCCTTTTCCTCACCAATGAAGCTTTTTTTTTTTTTTTTTT